GGTGCTCGGCAATCTCTTTTGAAGTGACCCTTCTTGCCGCAATTATAACAGGTAAAATCTTTATTTTCTGTTCTTGATTTTCCCCTTCTGGATTTCGATCTGCCACGATTTGAATTTCTTTCTGAAGTTCTCCCTCTAGACTCCGTGTGCAAGGCTGAGGAGGTTGATGCTTCACCCGATTCTCTCCGTCGAATTTCTTCGCTCAGTACCAGATCCCGAACATCGTCGAATTTCAATTTACTATTTCCCGACGAGCTGCTAACTGCTGTAACAGTAGCATTCCAACTGTCTGGTAGAGATGATAAGAGAATTAAAGCTCGAACTTCATCATCGAATTCAATTTCCACAGAACTCAACTGGGTTGTGATTGTGTTGAGTTCATTCAGGTGTTGAGCCACTGATGCTCCTTCCGTCATCCGCAAATTGAATAATCGCCTCATCAAGTGAACTTTGTTTGAGGCCGATGGCTTCTCATACATACTGGAGAGAGCTGCCATAAGACCTGCCGTGGTCTTTTCCTTTGCTATGTTGAAAGCAACATTTCGGGACAACGTCAGTCGGATAACTCCGAGGGCTTGTCTGTCGAGAAGAGCCCAGTCTTCATTCTTCATGCCCTCTGGTTGCTTTCCTGAAAGAGGTTGATATAGATTTTTCTGATACAGAAAATCTTCAATCTGCATCTTCCAAAAGCCAAAGTCCGCACCATCGAACTTTTCAATTTTCACCTTCCCTTCGTCTGCAGCCATCGCTCCCACTCGAATCTGGCTTCGTTTGGATCGTTTCTGACAATTTCTGCGAACCGCAGTGTATTAGAACACCTCCGTCGACAAACTCGTATCGCCGACCGAATTTCACTATTCACGAATTCACTATTCACGTGAATAGTAATGAATAGTAACCTCGCAGAAAATTGACAAAATTCACAACCTGGCTCTGATACCAGTTGTTAGGAAATAAACCAAGTACAAGTAATTTCCCTATAACCAGATTAGTGAGAATGCAAAATAAAAGCGGAAAAATAATACCCGAAATTTGATAACGGAGTTCAGCCAATTTATGCTTACGTCTCCGGACTGCTGCAGATCTTTTACTAAGAGAAAATTTACAGGTGTTTACACAACACACTTGAGAGAGAACTAGAAGATTTTGGGATGATTTTGAAGCTAAATGAGCTAGGGTATTTATAGTTAAAACTTAGGGACTAATATTGTAATTAAAAATAAAAAATATTTTGGGCAGCCCCCCTCCCCAATTTGTTTTAGCAGCCCCCCCATTTTTCTTCCCTTAGCAGCCCCCCTGGCTGCTGTCTTTGACCAACAAGGTTGGAGAAGGAACCAGCCGCTTAGCCCAGAATGTTCCCAATAGTCATGAAGAACGAGACCCAACCATTGGGGATCCTCATTCTTTTATGATCGTTTGTCGAAAGGTCAACGAGGAAAAGCACGACAAGGACCTTGTAACATGTTTGCACCTCGAGGATCCAAAAACCAGTGATGAAGATAGCAACTGCTCTAGGCTTGGTGGGATTGTGGAGCGAATCGCCTGCTCGGTGGCCTATGTATTTGGCGAAGCCAATGAAGAAAACAACGACGACGATGAAACGAGCTCTGGCGGCAATGAAAGGTCGACGATGACCAGTGCAGGAGGAGCAATGATCTCTATTGTAACTTACGACAGTTTGCACGAGGAGGCCGAAGATGGGGCGACAAAGTTAAATGAAAGAATCATTTAGTTTAGTGTTTATTATTTATTATTATAAATTAAATTTATGTATCAAGTAAAATTTAATGTGACATAAACGAACTTTTATATATTATAAATCTTAAAAAAATTAAATCAAATTTGGTGATTATGGGAAAAAACCTTAAATTTAATGGTATTTTATAAATAAAATAGTTGGTAACCAAAACAGAATCGTGAAAATAGTTGAGTGACTAAGTATGTAATTTACCCTTGCTATTTTTAATAGGATTTGAGACAAATGAAGTAACAATTTAAATTTCAAGAGATAAAACGTTTCAAAAAATACTTTATGTACAACTCGCTACAAATGACATAGTTTAGGAGACAATGATACATTTAAGCCACTAATTAATTTGACTTCTAACGTACACCATGTGATTTGTTAGAACCAAAATTAATATCGATCACATTAATCAGGCCTACCAACTTACAAGTAGACACGATAATTTTATATCCGACACCTAAAATCACTATAAAACCTCTCGATCAAGATCATAAAGACTTTTTTTTAGCACATTTCCTCTCACGGATCTCTCTCATATCCATTACCGATATTTTTTACTTATTATTACTCAACTATCGGTTATAATTCTCTGTCTAAATTAAAAAAATGTGAATTTTCAACTATCCGCGTAACAATCTTAATTTCATCAACAATTTTACTACTTGTTCTCATCCGAACGAAAGAATCCTCTACAAGCATCTATTTATAGTGCACCACTTTTAGCTTCAATGGAATGTCAACCAATTAGGTTTATGATATAGTACTGAAGATTTGGATTCTCACCGGAATCTATAAAACACAGCTTTCCTATTCAAGGCGGCTACCTCTTGTGTTCATCTAAGAGACGACTACAAATATGATCATACTTTATCATACTTTTATTTTTAATTTTAATAATTAAAGTTTAAAACTTTTTAATTTATTCATTAAACTTTTGATTTGTTCTTATTCTAATTACTTACATGTGAAATTATAAATGAAATGACGACATAATAGTTACATGTGCTAATGTGAATTGTTTTCCTATTAGCATAAAATTCATGTCATCCTTATCATTTTCCCTCTTTTTCTTCTCTTTTTTGATTTTTTTCTTCTTTCTCCAAATATGAAAGTTTTATAATTTCATCCATTGTGTCATGTTGACGTTGTAATTATTATTCTTTGACATGTTCTTTGATCACTGAAGATATCAACGAATCCGTCTAATTGTATCATACCATTCTATCGGTTTAGATCACTTAAATCACTTTCAAACTCATAAAATTCAATCTTAAACTCAAAACTCATAAAACGCTAAACCACTCCAATTATGTGTTTCCCTTCCTCCTTACCTCCTCACTATTAGAATTCGAAAAAAGATGCTTTATCGTCGAGAAATCAAATGAAATTAAAAAATTAGAGGGTTCTCACAAAAAAAATGAAGAAAGCCTTGGGATTATTTAATAAGTACTTTTAAAAGAAAATGTCTAATATTATTTTACTGATCAAAATAAGAGTGAGAAGAAAATTGAGTGACACATGTTGGACACGTGTATCCAGCATACCTTAATATATATAGATATGAGAATATAATCTTCAAATACATGAAAACCAATCAAATTTTGATTCAAATCTTAATTTTTAAATATTTGGATTCGGGTCTGTGCTTATATAAATTCACACGTACAGATTCATCTGATTTGGAAAAAGAAAAGAACTTATTCTTCATCAGTCTTAATCACCATTGTGATCAAGTTGGACACCAAGTGTGAAGGACTGACTTTGGAGAGTATATAAGTGAGTCAATTGTTTCCTAATTTTCTTCACACTCAAATGCAAAGGGAGCAACCATATACCCGCAAGGCAACAAGCATGTACGTCTCCTTCAAAGGCTTCATGTGCAAAGCTTAATGAATTTGCCTGCAAATCAAGATTGAGCTGCAGGTGAGGCCGGCGAACGGGGACGTACACGAGACTTGTCTTGAACACCGTCGATTCGGATAGGTTATAAACCAACTACAGCACCGGATTCTTATTAGGATAAGCCCACAGGAAAGCTGACGAAGCCAATTGCTCCCAAAAATTTTAAATTTTCATATATTTTAATTTTTTTATATTTTTCTATGAATAATATGTTCTCCTCCCCTTAACATATAAAAATCCTACGTTCTTTTCATATGTTTTTTTTTTATTTTGAAATAAATGTTTAATCTAACAACATTAACTATTGTAGAAAACATTGACGAGTGAACGATCAAGCAAAACACTATGCTACAGAGATTGAAGCACGATGCAAAGATTGAAGAATAGCAAGAGCATGGCAGTTACCGCTAATTTCGTGTGGCGGACTTCAACTTGTCTTCGTCAGAGTTTACAACAACTCCACTCAAGGAATCGTCGATCGGGGCTGACCGGAAGAACATCATCGATAGCAGTGTTTCTCTGCTGGGGAAATCAGCCTGTTAGGGTGTTGCGCCGTTATATATAAGGGTGAATAAAACTCGATCGATGCCGACCATAAGCATCATCAATATCAGTGTTTCTTTGCTAGAGGAATCAGCCTGTTACAGTGTTGTGCCGTTACATTTAAGAGTGAATAAAACTCGATCGGTGTTGACCATAAGCATCATCAATATCAACGTTTCTTTGCTAGGGGAACTGTTACGGTTTTGCGCCGCTGTATATAAGGATGAATAAAACTCGATTCAATTCAAAAAAATTGATTAGATTTTATTCGAATTTAAGCATTCGATTTGATTTAAAACATTTTTAAATAAAATAAAATTATAAAATATTACTCGTCAACTCGAGTTGCTCAAATTTTTTAAACTCGATTCAATTTGACTAACTTGAATGTTCATCCCTAATTCTTCCGTCATTTTTAATCTATTTTGACCAAATATGAATTATATGCTCCTCTAATATCATAGAATATCTATGTAACATCAATCTTATTTTTCAACAACAAGTCTACGATTTTTACAATTTAATCTCTCAACTATGCATTTAATTTAATTTATTAAATAATATTGTGTGTAAAAATATATATATAGTTAAAAAAATTGTTAAATTAGATCAATCTTTATCATAACATTATAAATATATATATATATATATGATTAAATTCTATATAAAAATTAAATAATAAATAATAATAATAAAATTAATTAACTTAAGTTTTTATTTTAATTGTAGGTGACTTTCCAAAGTAAAACCTAACCTCTATAATATACGTTTATTTATTTTATAACTTACATGAGTAGCAGCGACTGGTTCTTTCAGCCGGTGGCGGTTCAAAGCAAACTTGAAAATTTTCGCGGGAGACGCTGCCATTTTCGCCACCTACGCCATTTTATATCACTGAACTCAAATTCCCCCTTTCAGGTTCGTTCTCATCGCCGTTTTCTCATGGCATTGTCTAGAATCATAAAACCCAATCAATTTCTCTTCAAATCAACCAAACTAATCCCACAAAGTTCTTCATTACTTCTCCCCTGCAAAACCCTTCTTTCTCCCTCAAATCAACGAAGACCCATTTGCACAAAACATCGAAACGACAGTTTTCTCTCGCCGGATCAGATTAGCACCTCGAATGCCTTCGTTTCAATCATACTCAAACAACCCTTTTCACCAAATAATCCAGAGCTCAACAATCTCGCGCCGCTACTCACCCCTAAAGTTGTCGAAGCCGTCCTAAATAACCTCAGGGACTGGAGATTAGCTCACCAGTTTTTCACATGGGCCTCAAGTCAACATGGTTATAAGCATAAGATTTATGCTTACAATACCATGGCTTCTATCCTATCACGTGCTCGAAAAAATGCCCCACTGAAGGCTTTGGTTTTGGATGTCGTCAATTCCCGTTGTTATATGAATCCTGGGGCATTGGGTTTTTTAATTAGGTGTTTGGGGAGTGCTGGGTTGGTTGTTGAAGCTAACAACTTGTTTGATCAGGTTAAAAGATTTGGTCTTTGCATGCCGAGTACTTATAGCTATAGTTGTTTGTTGGAAGCTCTGTGCAAGTCTCGTTTGATTGATTTGGTTGAAGTCAGATTGAAAGAGATGAAGGATTTGGGTTTGGAATTTGATAAGTACACCCTGACCCCAGTTTTGCAGGTTTATTGCATTTCCGGGCAGTTTGACAAAGCTTTGGCAGTGTTCAATGAGATGTTCGAAGAAGGATGGGTGGATGAACATGTGCTTTCCATCTTGGTTGTTGCATTTAGTAAGTGGGGTGAAGTAGATAAGGTAATGGAACTGATAAATAGAATGGAAGAGCGAGGTATGAATTTGAATGAGAAGACATTTTCTGTTTTGATTCACGGATTTGTTGGTGAGTCTAGAATGGATAAAGCTCTTCAGTTGTTCGATAAAATCCGAAAATTGGGGTTTTGTCATAGTATTTCATTTTTTGATGTGATGATTGGAGGGCTTTGTAAGAATAATGAGCGAGAGAAAGCATTGTTGTTATACTCAGAAATGAAAGAGTTGGGAATTAATCCTGATTTTGGGATACTGATGAAGTTGATAACTTCTTTTTCCGAAAAGGAAGAAGAGTTGGACCGACTGCTTCAAGAATGCTGGGAAGATGTTAGTTCACAACATAAGAATCTGCTTTACAGTTCTGTTCTCGAAGGTCTAGTTCGCAATGGCTCAATAGATACGGCTTATGATCTTCTCCATATGCTAATGGGGAATAACAGAAACAGTGGTAGCATCCTTGCAAAGTACTTTTTGAATGAAAAGGAAGTAATTACCCTTGATAGTAATTCATTTACAAGTGTTATCAATGGCTTGCTTGATGCTGGTAAAGTGGATATGGCACTAACACTCTTCAGAGAAATGATTCAATTTGGTTTTAATCCAACTTTATTGCTTTATAATGGTTTGATTGATGCACTGTGCAAGTTAAAAAGACTGGAAGAGAGTTATGAGCTTTTGAGACAGATGAAGGAAATGGGACTTGAACCAACCAACTTTACTCACAACTGCATCTTTGGGTGTCTTTGTCAGCTAGAGGATGTTGAAGAAGCAGTTGATCTGGTGAAAAAGATGCGCCTTTATGGCCATGAACCATGGATAAAGTATTCTACCTTGCTTGTGAAGAACTTGTGTAAACATGGGAAGGTAGAGGAATCTTGCAAATTTATCACTGATATGTCACAAGAGGGTTTCCCCCCTGATATAATTACCTATTCTGCTGTAATAAATGGTTTGATCCAAATTAAATCAGTGGATACAGGTTTGGAACTATTCCGAGATATCTGTGCTCGAGGATATTGTCCTGATGTGATTTCTTATAACATACTTATAAAAGCGTTTTGTAAGGCCAAAAGAGTTGCAGAAGCTGAGTGTCTTGTGAATGATATGATGTTGAAGGGGCTTGTTCCCTCTGTGGTTACATATAATTATTTGATTGATGGATGGTGCAAAAATGGTGAGATTGACCAAGCTATTCTTCGCTTTTCCAAGATGTTTGGGAAAGAGAGGAAAGCAAATGTGATTACTTATGTAACTTTAGTTGATGGATTGTGCAATTTTGGAAGAACTGATGATGCTCTAAATCTATGGGATGAAATGTTTAGGAAAGGATGCATTCCCAACAGAATAGCTTATCATACTCTTATTAATGGACTTTGCAAGTGTGGTAGATCCTCCGCAGCTTTAGTTCATTTCAATGCGATGAAAGAGAAGGAAATGAAACCCGACAATTATCTCTATATAGCACTAATAAGAGCTTTCCTTTCAGACACAAACTTACCATCTGTTCTTGACATATTAAAAGAGATGGTTGATGTAGGAAATTTACCAGATCCACAAGACAAGAACTTCCCTGTCATAAAAGATGCAATTTGCAAATTGTCAGAAGATGCCAGAACATTTTCTAGCATAAGAGACCTAATAGAGGAGGGGAGGATCCCAGATGTTAGTCCCCGTGAAGGAGCTGAAGGTAGACATAATCCATCTATTTGATTCAGAGTCGAGTACGATTGCGGTTAAAGTTAAAAGAGAATTTGTTTATTCATGGAAGTAATGTTATCAGATTCAACGTAATGAAATAAGGTAAATTCTTTCCATCTTTTGTATGCCATTGTAAATTAGATTTTAATCAATAGATCTTGAATCATTCTACTGCTTGATGGATTTGACTGGCAATGTTTTGGAGTTAAATGTCAAATACGAACACGGCATACTGCCATACGCCCATACCTATTATCTAACTAAGCAGAAAAAGATATCTTATGCCACCCATAAGGCCTTATGTCACCCATAAGTTTACATGTGATTTGCAGGTATTTCAGGCCTTATAGTAATTACAACAGTAAGTGCCCCTCGTTTAACATGCAGGATAGGAAAGTCCAACGCTCGAATTGTCAAATATGAACACGGCATACTGCCATACGCACATACCTATTATCTAAGCAGAAAAAGATATGTCATTCATAAGTTTACATCTGATTTGCAGGTATTTGAGGCCTTATAATAATGACAATAGTATGTGCCCTCGTTTAACATGCAGGATAGGAAAGTCCGACGCTCGAACACCGAGAACTAAAAGGAAGGAAACGTAATAAAAGACTTGGAAATTGCTAGGCAAGTTAAGTTCAGGTTGCTGGTGCTAGCGACGGGCATACCGCATGCTGATCCCATCTTAACATACCGCATGCTTACCCATCTTAACGAGTTTTCAGAAGGCAGATATAGAGAGAACAATGGACGAAGTAATATCCAGTTTTCCAGCAAGGGATCGAGAAATTTTATTCACCAATTGACTCGAAAACTATGCTGTATCCGCCTCCAACTGGCGTAATCTTGGATGAGTTTACGATCGGTGGTATCGATGTGCTCGAAAATCGATTGCGTAAATGCAAAGGACGAGGATCCATTAGAGGAACTGCATCTTCATCTTTGTTTCGTAGTAAGTACACGTACAGTTAAATTGTACCAAGCCATTAGCCATCTCATGATCAACTGCAAGGGAACTACTATTACCTAAAATATGAGGGAAGGCCTTTACCTACCAATCATATTACCTAAATTTCAAAAACTATTAATTATATAAAGAATTATTATTCGATAAATTGGCAATAGGGAAAAATAATTCACAAGCAGAATTATTTTATTTAAAAAAATTAAGTTCACGTTAAATATATTTAATATAATCTGAATATTATTGATAAAATTAGTTTCTTATTAACAATATATCGAATAATAACTTTAATATAAAATATTAGGATCATTATATGTATTTATTTATAAAAGAAATTACTCATTAATCATTTCTTTTAACTTATAGTGGGTGTACGATAATTTAATTATTGTTAAATAATTAAATTAATTCCAATAATTATCTGGTTGACATTTGGTGTTATGATTTAAATAAACAGATTCTTTGTGAGTATTTTATGAACTATTTTCCTGTGTGTATTTATATTGTTTATTTATTCTGAATAATCTGAGTTAATTATAAAATTATTATTTATTTATATAAAAAATATATTATTTATTATAAATTTATATATATATATATATTTTTTTTTTGAGTATGAACGTCTCACTTTTTAAAATTTTAATTTAACTCAAATTTCATATTAATCTAATAATCATATCGTTTGTGAATCGTTCTGCGGGAAGTTCTTTTATGTTCATTTATTTATTAAACGAACGAACATGAACAATATTTTGTGTTCATTTAATTAAATGAACGAACATGAACAGATGACTCATTCGTTCATTTACGTTCGTGAGCGTTCAGTAATATGTTCGTTTATGTGTGTTTATTTATGTTTAGTTCAATCTCTTTAGACCAGTTAAAATATTAAAGCCCACTAAATTTTAAGCTGAGACCTATAAATATTTCAAAATTCAATTAATTTTAAATACAAATAAAAAACTCAAAACAATTAAATAAAATATAATCCTAAAATTGTTAGGAAAGAAAAAAAACTTATTTTCATTTATGCTCGTTTACGTTCATTTATTGTGTTTGTTTACATCCGTTCGTTTATGTTTGTTCATTTGTGTTCGTTTATCATTTAAATGAACGAACATGAACGAACACGAACAAGTTACATTTCTTAACGAACGAACATGAACAAGAATTTTTTTTGTTCATTTATGTTCGTGTACGTTCATTTGTTCGGTTAAAGTTAAACGAACTAACATGAATATACCCCGTTCTTGTTCGTTCGGTTCGTTTACATGCCTAAGACTAAATGTTGCTACAAAGGGTGTGTTTGTTTGCCGTAATTGGAATTACGGAATTGGTTTTCCCCGAATTCCCTTGTTTGTTTCACGTAATTCATTTTCCGGAAAATATTTTCCCGTGTTTGTTTCACGTAATTTGTTTTCCGGAAAACGTTTTCCCGTGTTTGTTTCACGTAATTCGTTTTCCGGAATGTAATTCATTTTCCTAGTAACAGAATTTCCTTTGTGTTTTCTGTAAAATGACTTACGGATTCATTTTCCGTAAGTCATTTTCCGAACTTTTCACTTCAAAGCAAAAATACTCAAAATAATTTTATTTTATGAATTTAATATTAATAAAATATTTTAATATCATTTTCTTCAAAATATTAATTATTAAAATATTTAAAATATATTTATTAATATTTATAATAATATAATATTATATTTTTAATAATATATTATATTTTAATAATAAATAATAAATTTTTTATATATTTAATAATGAATAATATTATTTATATATTTCAATAATATTTTAGTAAATATATTTAAAATATACTAATTAATATTTTTAAAATATAATATAGCATTATTACTTTAATAAATAATGTTTAAATAATATTATTTATTATATTTAATATTTGTAATAAATAATTTTTTAAAAACTCTTCAACTAGTGGAAAAAATGTTTAAATAACATCTTCCAAACATTATAAAACGTTTTCAGATGTTTTCCAGAAATGTAATTCATTTTCTAGAAATGTAATTCATTTTCCAGAATTCAAATTCCAGTAATTCATTTTTTATTAATTCAAATTTCAGTAATTCAAATTCCAGTAATTTATTTTTCGAAAAATCAATTACAGACAAACAAACATACCCTAAATTAATTTAATCACTTTGTTCATGTATTTGCTTATTAGTTTAATGGGGGAATACAGTATTTCACAATATTTAAAAAAATTATAATAGGGTATAAATACTAGACTTCTGTTTTCCTACGTTGATATCCCCTAGTAAAAGCAAGGAAAAATCAAAATAAAAATTCAAGTTTTTCGATCATTTTCAAGGCGGCTGCTCTCTCATTTCTCTTTCCCCTCTTTTAATCTTTGTTTCTGATTCTTCCATTACTCCCCGATTATATTGAAGCCCCATCGCCGATCTCTTCTGAGCCACCGATTTCTCTTTCCGGTCTAAAACCTTAGCATCGGAGAAAACTCTGGCGGGGAACGGCGAAGCTAAATCGGTATTGGTTAGGCTAGAGAGGTAAAAAAAAGAATGTCGGCCGAACAGAAAAAACAAGAACCTAGCCCTAACCCTAATGGCAACAATAACGATAATTTGAACAGTGAAACTGAACACGAAGAAAAACAAGTACAAGAAGAGCAAGAACAGGCTCCACGTCAGTCTTCGACGAGAACTCCTTTCACTAATCTAAGTCAGGTTGAAGCTGACCTGGCTCTTGCTCGAACCCTACAAGAACAGGTAAATTTTGCATGTTTTTATTTTGTTTTCTGTTTTAAAACTGATCATTATGTGTGTGCTTATTTAGATTTTTGTTTAATTGTAGGAAAGGGCGTATATGATGCTTAGGATGAATAATGATGGGAGCGATTACGGGAGTTGGGAGGCTGAAAGCTATTTACATGGTGGAGATGACGGTTTTGGGGATCCCCATGATCATGATATTACCGATGGTGATGAAGAAGAAGAAGATGATGACGGTGAGCAGGAAGATGAGGATGAAGGGGAATGTGATGGCACTGATGCTGATGATGACGATGGGGATGTGTTTGATGTGCATGCTGAGAATGGTGAGGAGGTTAACAACGCCAGTATTGAACTCGACCCAGCCGCTTTTTCGAGTGATGAGGCTTATGCTAGAGCACTTCAGGATGCCGAAGAAAGAGAAGTGGCAGCTAGATTGTTGGCCTTAGCTGGGATAAACGATAGTGAGTGTTTAGTAATACGAAATTCTTGTTAGTTGCTTTGAGTTAATGCCAATGCTAAGATCGCTTACTGAAGTTATATCAATTTGAAGGAGGAATTTTTACCTTTGAGGATCATGGAGGTAACTCTCAGGTGAGAATTATTATGAGTTATAAGCCTTAATTTCCATGCATATGTCGAAATCTCTATCTTTCCTTTATGATTTTTTTTTTCAATCAGATAAATAGGTTGCATTCTTAGGTAGAAATGTCTCAATTGAGTGCCGTTGATGTTGCTTTATTTGCTTGTATGCCTCTTTGGCTGACTTCTTATCTTGTAACTCTGATCGGAAGTTTTCATCAGGGGAGTATTTCACTTGAACTGATTTAAAATGAATGGTTTATAGTTTTCTGGACTGTGATCTCCATATTAGTATATTATGGATTGATTTTTTGCTTTTAGGACACATTTTTTATGGAGAATATGTTAACCAGTAATTAATATTTCTGGTCCTGCCTACCTGTAGGAAGGGTGCTTCCATTTTTCTTGGTGCATATGACCTTTGTCTTTAAGAGGGATATGTTATTAGTTTGCCTTTTGAATCTGATCATGGGATTCTGTTTGTCTTATTTTTATGTCATAACTTCAAATGTGCTTATAAATACTTAGATGGTCATCTATTGTTATTTGTCATTCATTCCAGCATGCGTGCAACTATGCAAGGTTACTGCATCATATGTTAGGAAGTATTTGGGGTTCTAACTTCCTTAATTCCAAAGATGTTCACTTGGAAAATTTTGGTTCCTTAGTAACGTGTTTAGTTGTAGCTAACAGAATGATCGTCTGTCTGTGCATGGTAAGCTTGTACTTTAGTAGTTTTTACAGGAATGGTTCTAGAGCTAAAATCTTAGTGAGTTATTTTCATTCTGATGCATGGGATGGATACATTTGAGTGCCATCATTGAATAACAATGGCCATGTAATTATCTTCTTTTATTAGGTAAAATGAACATGCCAGTATTAGCACTGTATTTGCTCTTGTTGGCCAATTCATATCTTCAACTTGGAGAGTGTATATTTTCCGACTTGGTTGTTACATTTAAATTGTTATAAGAAAGGGTTTCCCAGTTGACAATTCCCTCTATTTTCTGTGTCTGAGGCAGAGGTCTCTCATTCCATACTCTTGGTTGATATTATGTTGTCTGGTTCTGTTTTAGGGCTCTGCATAGTATGGTTAATTCTTTAACATTTAGTACTATCATATTGTGAATGACGGGTGATAACTTGGAAGAAACAGTCTGCATCGAGTATTCGTAACAGCCAATCTTTGTTTGTATTAACAGTGCTGGGAGTGAAACTTGTTTGAAAGGCAAGGATCATGTTGTGAATGTTTCTGAAATTGAGGCTGTTGCATGTTATAGTTTGTTAACATTTTTCTCTCACAAACCCTTTGTTGGATTATATTTGTATTTTTTGTCCATGATCATTTTAAGATATCAAGTTCATTTGAGAATAGAAGCTTTTCCTGATTTACACTGCTTTTATTGAGATTTGACTATGAATTTTCATCAAATACCCGATTGTATGTACAAAATAGTTTGGGATTCGACCTCCTGTATAGAATAAAATTTGTTGATGCAAGGATGAGGTTGTGACAGTTTAGTACTGTTCACCTGAAGGGACAAAAGTGAGGTAGTAGCAGGAGGAAGAAGATTGGATATGAAGCCCCAGAAGTCCCTCCTTTCCTGGTGAGGGGGCTCTATTTAGAGGTTATGCGGGTCCCCTTAATGATGCCCTACTATGTGTAGGGTGGTTGGAGAGGTATCGGGATGTGATAGATGGAACCCTTGATGGATTTGATGATATATGGCAAAATGAATGTACATAGTTACTTGTGGATATGTTTGTCCCTTAGACATCATCGATAACCAAACTCTCAAATCAGATGACATAAGTGAGTCACATGGAAAATAAAAATTTGAAGACAAAAAACTCAGGTAACAAACAGCGAACCGCCTTGAAGGAAGTGGCAACATTACCAAAGTAGCTCCTGGATTGTTAGCTTCTTAAAATTCTCTCCAGCCAATAGTCATTTTCTGTTCAATTACAAGTATAGTTGAAACAACCCGATCTTGCTTTGGATGTATTATGTCTGGAAGGAGGGCCTATGGATCGAGATTTTTCAACTGTACTTGAAATTGAGCTGAGAGACCATGAAGAAGACCTGAAGCTACCAATCAAGGATCTACACTGGTGATGATGACAGAGAGAAAACTTAATCACCGGCTCTCAGCCCTCCTAGTGAATCTTCCTAAACTGTCACAACCTCATCCCTGCATCCACAATTTTTTATTCTTCTCTTTCTTACGCCCTTTTATGGATTTCTGGAGCATATCATTTCACTTAATTTTGAGTCATTTTTTTTTCTTTTTGCGACTTACTTTTGCAGGATACATGGGAAGAAGTTGATCCTGATGAACTTTCATATGAGGTAAACTGAGCTAGATTCCTAATGCATTGTACTTTCCTTTTAAACACACTTATCAAGAATGAGCTATCATTCAGGAACTCCTTGCACTTGGTGAAGTAGTTGGAACTGAGAGTAGAGGGCTTTCAGTCGATTCACTTGCCTCCTTGCCTTCCATAACGTACAAGGCAGTCATCAGTCAGATTGGAAGCAATGAATCGTAAGTTTGAATGCATAGTCCTTTTCTTTTATGCCTGAATTTCATTCACTTGGTGATTATATTTGCATCCTTTGTTTTCAGGTGTGTTGTATGCCGTGTAGACTATGAAGATGGTGATTCCTTGACATTGCTTTCTTGCAAGCATTCATATCATCATGAGTGCATAAATAACTGGTTGAAAATAAACAAGGTATGCTTATCAACATATGCATTTAACTGCCTTGTATTTTGAGGACACTTGAAGCAACATCTGCACAAGTTTTCTTTAAAAGATAATACTGGCAAATTCTTCCTCTGTATATTTTCTTTCCTGTTCGCTTGTTGCATCATATACATGTTAGAATACCGGTTTTTACGAGTATCTTATGTTCACAGAAGCTCTTGTAAACATTTATGTTGCCGAATAATGCATCATTGCGTTACCGCAGGTCTGTCCCGTTTGTAGTGTTGAGGTCTCAACATCGGGTCAGAGCTAGTATTTTCCGTTAATCCTCTTCATGGTGCGCCACAAGTTGCCAACTGCTTGTCTTAATACGCAGAATGTACCATTTCTTTCTGGTGAAAAGACTTGTAGCCATAACATCTTCTTGCTTGCTTGCATCCATTCATCTATTAACTTTGTGTTAATACTCCCTTTGGAATTAGTTGACTATGGTAATCTTCTATACCTGAATTTGTTTTATTTTCTCATCATCTTTAGAAATTAAGGTACTGAAATATTGAATGAAATTAAAATTTGAAATTCAACTTGAGAGTAAAAAGTTTTAAATTTCAATTTGAGAGGAGAGAATTTATTTGAGAGGAGAGAATTTAAATACCAACATTTCAAAAAATATATTTTATCAGATGGTTTTTATGCATTGTCAAAAAATTTTAAAAAATAAACAATTGATTTTTTTCCATTACCAACTGGTAAATATATTGTTTTTTTCAGAAATATTTTGTTTAATATTATTTTCTTCCGATTAGACCACGTAACCGAAGACCAAATCAGTTTAAACTAGAATGCACAAAGGAAGAAGCATTATGTAATGCTTTTATACCTTTCATGAAATAACATCTGGTAAGAAAATTACACAAGCTAAAGCTAAGCTACAAATATCAGTAGGCTCCAGCCAAAGGAGCACATCAGCATGCAAGAAAGATTTAGTAGTGAACTCAGTGAGTCAGTCAAAGTTGGAAAATCAGAACCCCAAAATATTTGCCCACTTGCCAATTGTCATCTTTCAGCAGGATTCAGCAACGGAGTCGCAACTCATTCCAACTTTATTAGCAAGCTCAATCCTGAGTCAAGCAAATTTTAGATAAATCAGTCACTATGATAGACTTTTCTATGGTTATTACATGCTATATCATGCATCAGTAGTATCCGTGTCTGATCGCTTGTGTTATAAATATACCAAAAGAAAAAAGAAAAGCGAATTTTGGGGTATGCCACAGGTACATAATCGAATGTGAATGTTGGATGCAGTCTGCAACCGGTACATATTTCCATACCCATAATTGGTTATGCTCTAATAAAAGATGTCGGACACAAGTATTTTAAGAAAAAGCAACATAGAAAAAAACCAGTGGCCCCAATATGTGATGCAGTCGAGATGCAAGATCATCAAAACAAGGTATTCCGGGCAGCATCTGATGAAAAACCAATTGCAGAATTTCATTTTTGCTCTATACTTTTTTCATGTAAAAATGCATGAAAGGACTGATGTTTCACACATAGGCGAAGCAGAATCGTAAAGAAGCAAACTGGGGATCATATCATATCATCATTTCAAGGGAAGAAGGTGAGTTATCAGAGTAAATGAAAAAAAAAATATGGTACTAATTATTCTATTCAGAATCAAAGCATATGAAGTGCCTTACTTTGCATTCGGATCCAAGTACTTAACGGCCTGATGCACTGCATGTACAATCATTTTCTTCACCTGTTTTACATATGACAGTTGTAAAAGAAACAACATTCAAAAGGGTTAATAAGCACAAGAAAAAGAAAAGCTACCTACTGCCCCCTCTCACTAAAGGGGCTAAAAGGCACATATATATATATATATATAGAGAGAGAGAGAGAAATTATAGTATCAACATTTCAATGCTCGATAACAATGCGCATACCTCCAGTTTATCCTCTTTTACCCTATGGTCATGAGGTAGCAGACGAAACTCCTCGGTCAAGCGAACACACTCACCAACATTTTCAGGTGAAACAAAATCTAGAGCAACCTTTATGCATGACTGTCAAACATAAAGATAAAGGTTTAGTTTAGAGAGAGCAATGAGAAATAAGTTGCATAGTAGTTATTAGTTTTTTCACATTTTCATAGTTTTACTTTTGATATTTATAGTGATTGTTTAGATATTCATTCTAGATTTCTCTCTTTTGGTTCAATTTAATCCTGTCTATTTCGATTATATACTTCATGATTGATTGTGTTGATTATAAATTTCACTATCAACTAATTCTCCTATAGTGATTAGGAAATCAGAAGTTAATGACTTAGTGAAATAGGGTAATAAATGGCTTAAGCCTTGACAAGATTAATTACTCAATTCACTATTATTGCTAATCTGAGTGACAGAGACGATACGGAGTTGACTCCAGCGATCTAATTAAGTAATTACCAACCTAAGTAAGAGATACATCAACTGATTTGGCTACCTATAAGGAACACAACTAAAATATGAAATCATTTTTGCAAACAAGAGAGATACATATTCTTTTTTCCGAAAAATGAAAAAACTGTAACAAGCACCATCTTACCTTAATGTTTCGGACTTGATGAGGACAACCAGCAGGTATAAAAACAGCTTCCCCGAGTTTCTGAATAAAAGTCCACGGTTCAATTCCTGCATGCCAAGATTTATAACCATAGTTAAAGGCTGAGATTTTGAATGACTGGTCCAACAAAATGTACTACACATTTTAACATACCATATTCCTGCTTAAGCTTTGCCTTATGATCCATAGTCAGATAAAATGATTGATCATGTATAGGGTGTAAAACCTACATGACAAAGAGACGATGAATTATATAATATAAGTAACTCATCAAAAATGTTTCACGTGCACAATACATGATGTAGAGAAATTACCTGTGATACTGGGCAACAATGAATATATCTAAACTCCCCAAAGTGCTTTCTAAGGTAATCCTGCAACTTTGGAATATCTTCCTTCCGGAAAATGTCCCAGATAGCACCTCCTTCAAGAACTTCCACCTCTTCAATCTTATTCTCGGAAGTTTCAGATGACCTGCCATTCAGCCCGCATTCTTCTTGATCCACTTTTACCTTCCTACTTCCTTCCATTTCAGATTCCATTACCGAATTATTGCCACTCAGACTTGAATAACCATCTTGACCTTCTTGTTCAATAATAACATTGCCTTCTTGATCACCGGCTCTATCACTAGGCTGCTTGTTACAGGTGGAGATGTCAAAGGACCCATCACCAGGCTTATTCCTGTCAATCTTTGAGGTCCTTCCAAATATTTCCAGCTGGTCTTGCGCATTGTGCTTTTGTTTCAACTTCGCAATTTTAGCAAGCTGTTCAGGTGTAAGCTTCACCTCAGCAGTGTGTGTTAGAACATTCACCTGAGCATTCACATTGGCAAGTGATTATATATTAATATCAATAACTCGATACAAGAAAGACTGAAAACCAGATTTCCTTCAAGTTACCCCAATAAATATACTTTATTTTATTCATACTGACTAAATAATATGTTTATTTGCATTAAAGCTATTATTAGAAAATAAAAGGAAAAACTGAGCATATACCGCATCAGACATGTCACAATGAAGCCTGGTTACAGAGTCTCCACGCCCAAGCTCTTGTGCGACTCCATATGCAATATATGACTTAGGCCCCATATCTGGCTTTAGAGATTTCTCTGGCAATTTGGTAGTGACATTAAGAAGCCCACTTCGAGGATGGGTATATTCTTTAAATGGCAAACAACAGACAAACTCGGCATGATGACGTGGAAGGAGCTTCTCAAATTCATTAGATGGAGGCCAGTCTTTTAGCTTCAGTATCTGAGGCCATGATTCCGAATCAAAACGACCATCTGTATACCCTTTAAAGAATTGGTGAATATTGACCACTACCTGCATTTCAACAACAGTGCTGATCTTAGAACCAAGGTTAACCAATCAACAAGCAATTGTTAAAAGACCAGCATATTTCAGTACACATGCTTATCACATAGTGTGGTACATAAACAGAGCATAATCAAGTTCAGCATCATAGTCTAATAATATGAACTAGTGCAGTTGATAAATAAACTGACCTCAGACCAGTCTAAGCAATGAAGTGCCTTGACTTCCAACTGGTGATCACTTTTTTTATTCGTTACTTGACGAAAGGCACGCCACATAACCATTGGCTCCCAGCTCAAACCGGACGTATTCTCAAGTACATCACTGACAATAACAGGCTCGCCGTTAGCCCAGTGCTTTTGGAAATGTTTCAAATCTCCACTCTTAATATCTTTAGCTTTTGGACAATATAAATAGTTGTCAATGGCATTTTCTCGAGAAGCTGCTTTCCTTAACTTATTATTGTTGATGTCAACTTCTCCCATAGAATTGTAACAAGGGCAACGTTCATTAGAAACTTGAAGAGCATGATCAAAATTAAGAGCTTTGGTTATTTCCTCGGTCTTTCCTGTTAACTCAACAACAGCATGTTCTCTAAACATGCACCTTAACTCCAAAAGGCCATTACCGCACCCACCTAAGCCCTTCGGGGGACAAGGAATGGTGCCATTTTCATGCACCTTCCACTCAGAAGTTGGAGCATTTTGTTCTATAGAGTTAGTTTCCTCAGGGGTCTCTTTTTGATTCCCCACTTCCGATGGCACTGGGCTCTTAAGTTTTCCGTGCAAGTATTCTAAATCCTTGTAAGGATATACTATAACTGCTTCTCTTTGTCCGCCCTGCAAATTCCCATCACGGATTTCTTGGCAACAGGTAAGGCACAGATCATAGTTACAATTAGGACAGCTTCTATGGAAGTCGACGATTGAAGCTCTGCAGTTGTTACTGCCAAAAGAAGGTCTTGGTATCAAAAATTACTTCAAACGAGTTCCAGCAACAAATGAAATGATCCCATTTAGTTTCCCTATCACAACAATAACAATAAGACCTACCAATATACACGCACAACATTAGACCATTCTGCCTGCTTAAGCTTTATTTGTTCTGGGGGCACCCCTAGTCGCACATTAAAAAAGAAGTGTTAGAAAAATAAAATCATTAATTAACAACGTTCTAAAACGCCACATGATGCACTTATCATTTTGGAGAAACTACACAAAAACAAGTTCAAATAAGGATACACATACGGTTAATTTTTGCCTCGATGGCCTTCTCTTTTATTTGTTCTTCACAAAATTGTTTCAGGTATGGAAGAAGTGTCCGAAGCAAGTATCTGGAGTGCTGAGCTTTCTCATCATCACCGAACTCCAAATTTATTGTCTTTCCCAATTTCTACAACTCATCAATTGTACAATATCATGAATCAAGTACGACATAATATATGCAATAAATCGAGCAGGAAAGCCATTAATGTTAGAACTAACTTTGGGAAGGCCGGTCATCCGCAAGCATGCCTTGCAATTGCAATTCTCCCGACAAACTGGGCAGGCATCAGCTATTTCATCCTCCGACATCTTGGGGTACCTGGTCCCAGAAAAACAAAATACATAACCAATTAAAATGGAAACAAGAACATGCTCAATTATGATTGCAGCAAAGTTCATGGGAATTAGCAGCAGCGCACACATTTAGATAAAACCCGATTTGATATAAGAAATCAAATTAAGGAAACTATTTTCTAAGCAAAGTGTAGACTGAGTTCATGCTCCAAATGAAGTACCAATTTGTTATGCAGGGGATGCAATATCGTTTTCCCTTGCAAAGTTGGCATCTCACAACCCTGCCTTTATCATTCCTCTTGCACTGATGGCATGTTAATCTATCTTCTTTGGCAATGGTAATCCACTGTGTTGAAAACAAACAAGAACCACCGGCAACACATTAAATACATCACCTAGCACACACACGTCATAAGAACAATGCAAGAATTAAAAAGCATAATTTGTACCGTGGAGTCCCTTTTTTTCTTTGAACCAGTCACAGGCTCTTCTTCCCTGGGGCTAACCAAATCTTCTGATCCATTCACTGAAACTTGTACATCTTCCCCTCCATTGCCTTCACTTTCAGAAGCTTGTTTCCTTGGCCTACCCCTTCCTCGACCCCTCTTCTTTCCATTATTTGCATTTTTCCCTCCATTTCCTTCGCTCTCGAAAGCTTGTTTCCTCGGCCTTCCCCTTCCTCGCTTCTTTGCATGCACAGTACTATCTCCATTCTCATTAAAAACATCTTCTTGTGCTTCAGATTTCACAGGCTCCTTCTTCGGCCTACCTCGACCACGCTTCTTTGGCACAAAGTCTTCATCTTCATGTTCTTGAACCTCAACATAGCTTACTTTCTTAGCAATTTCTCTCAGTCTCCTCCTTGAATCATCTCCACTATTTACCATGTCTTCTACATTTGATGTCTCAACGTAAGTCAAAGTTTCTTCTCCTTTCAGTTGAACCCCACTTTCTTCCTCTTCCTCAGCTACAGAATCTGAACTTTTTCCATCTTCAAATCCCTCCTTTTTCCCCCTTTTCCAAGGAACTGTTGCTTCCTCCTCTCTGTCTCTCTTATTAAGCTTCTTTAAAGCTTCAGAATCCCCAGTTTTCTTCTCCTTCTCTTCGATTTCCCTTGCTTTCTCTCCGCCCATATCACTGTTTTCTTCCCCATTTCTCCCTTCGACTTGGTCCTCGGCGAACCCTCGATTTTCTTTACTTCCCATAATCCCCCGCCACCGGTCGCTGTTTTCCGACAGACCCTCGCGGATTCCAATCGCTCTGTCTGAATTCAGACTATTTAATGTGTCACTCGCACAGTGGTCTGAAAATTATAACAAGTCGACCTAGGATTGTCCTTTGCTTCATGGTGATTGGTCAGGGAGGGGAATTAGGAACCCTTTTTTTTCCAACTCAAAATTCAAATTTATTTTGGTTCTGTAATTGGAATGATTTGTACCCTTGAATAAGAGAGGTAGTAGTATACAAGTTTACAAACTAAAAAATTCATACTTAAATTTAAATTTATTTCCATAAATTAGTTTAAATCAGTTAGTTGTCCACTTTAATATTTATATTATTTATAATATTATGCTGGAGAAATTCAACGTAAAATAATTTTAATTGGTATTTGATTTTGAATATTAATGTACATAGAGGTGGTGATCGGTTCATATCATTTAAGTTTAAATCATTTTAAATTCGGAATATTTTGAATTTACATATTTTTAGATAATTTATCTCGAATCATATTCCAACATTTGCAGTGGAGCAATTAGGGATGGGCATGGGTCGGGTAGGATCGGATTTTTGTTCCACCCTGCCCGAGAACAAGGAATTATCCATCCGAGACCCGACCTGACCAAAACAAGATTCCAACCGACCCGAATTCGACCCGTTATATAACTTAAAAACTGACCCAACCCGACCAGACTTGAATTAATAAAAAAATATTATTTTATTTAATAAAAATATTGATTTAATTGAAAAATAATAATATAGAGAGAATTATTATTGTAATTATTCTTAAATATATAAGGTAAAATTATATTTTTTGGATCGAGTCAGATCAGGTATTTTTATCCTAAACCAGAACTCGATTCGACCCGAACATCACTTTAAAAAAAATTGACCCAACCGAACCCAAAATTTTAAAAAAAAAATCAACTAGATCAAATCAGATCAAATTAAAACCTATCGAATTCAGATCTCATGCCCATCTCTAATAGAAATGCAAGGCATAGTAACAAAACATGAGCTCCATCTATAATGAGAAGAAACAGCATCTCGAAACAAAGAAAAACAACAAAGCCTCCTCGATAGCTATAACCTCGGTCAAATGTAATAATTTTATTTTTATTTTTATTTTTATTAAAATTATTTGTCCTAATCAGTAACTTTTTTTTATTCGATAGTAGAAAAATATATTGACAAAATAATTAACAAATTAAATTAGATAATATGTACTAAATACTTTAAAGTCCTAGGCCTTCGTGATAATTTTACAAGTTTTGTACTTTTATTATGTAAGCTTATAAATTTTATTAAAAGTTTTGTACTGTTTTTTATTATTATTACATATAAAAAAAGATGGACTGAGGAGAAGGGCGGAGATAATCATTTTTTGAAAATTTAAAATTACTTTATATTTTAAATTTTTTATGTATTTTTATTTCGTTCTCTAAAATTTTATAATTTCTTTCTCTACAAATTTTAAAAGTTCATTATTTAACATAAAAATTTTATGTTTATCCTTTTATATATATATATATATTTAGTGCTATTAGCTTATGGATTACGATTCATTATTTTTAGTAGTTATTCAGTTATTTTACTTCTTAGATTATATTATTTTATATTAAAAATTATTTACTCTAATTTTTTAATTTTTATGATTTGTTGTTATCGGAGATGTTGGTTGAAAATATATAAACATCTTTCATATCCGAATCATCTAAACTAAAATTTAAATTATCTAATGTAAACTTATATTCTAAGAATGAGAAGTTAAAATATTATAAATGAAAAAAAAAAGAACGAGTTAGTATTTGGTTTAAATTTTATGGATTACAGTTATTTTAGTTTATATTTTTTAAATTTTGTTTGTGAATAAAATGAATTAAAATAAAAAATAATCTATAAAAAATATTTATGATATCCACTTCAAAATAATATACTAATAAATAGGATTAAGTCGATTATAAAAAAAATTACAGTATACAAATAGTATCCTGACTATAAGATATTATTTTGTTAAATCTCCGACTATTAAAACTTACAAAATAATCCCCGACTATTAAAATTTACAAAATGATCTCTGACTGTAAAGTGTTTATTTTGTTAGGTTCTCGATTATTCAAAGTTACAAAATGATCACCCGACTATTCATATGTTACAAACATATCATTTTCCGTTAAAATTTAACAGCAGTCTGAGATGAACGTTAATTTATTGACTGAGAAATGACAAAATTTTATCTCATAATCTCAAACGACTATCATAACCAACATGTTAACATTCAACTTAGACGACTGTAAATTTTATAACGAAAAAGAAAAAGTTTAGAACAAAATTAATAGTCATATGATCATTTTATAAATTTTAATAATCAATGGACTTAATAAAATAACACCTTATAATCGAAAGATCGTTTTATAACTTTTAGTGGTTAATGGTCTTAACAAAATAATGTCTTATAATCAGGGACTATTTGTGTACTTTAACCCCAAAAAACCAGTCGAAACACCCATAGCTGAGTGCCAGGACACAGTTTCAGCTATCCAATAAAGTGTTTTCAAGTTTCGAGACAAGTGTGCTCATCGTGACGGGCGAACCGGCATGGCTTCACGCCAAAAACTCAAAACTACAAGTGGCCTGAACGACCACTTATTACAAAGAAAGAAGGAAATCAATAGCTGGAAAAAAAATGAATTCTTTCTCTTCAGCAAGTCTTAAATCTTCCAAGGTTTATTTGCATCGACTCAACCATCAAACTGTTTTGCTTTGCATTGGTTGATTTTCCCTCACTTTCAGTAAAAAAAATATTTTTTTGACAAAAAAAAAAACAATGCAAGCACATCAAACAAGTTTCACCTGAAACTAATCCAGGTAATGTTGTTTTGATTTTCATCTAAGCAATAAAAAACAGACTAGTTGAGGAGACCTCTTTGCTTGAAGACATCAAACATCGCAACACCGATCTTTGCGGGTGATTCAACGACTGTCACTCCCGCTTCCCTTAGAGTCTTTATTTTGTCTTGCGCCGTGCCCTTGCCCCCTGATACTATAGCTGTTTGTAGGCAAAACATGGAATAATAAATAATTATGCATATAACACGATGAAACATCGAATATGGTAAAAAGCACCAGAATATCAGATGCCCTGGCCTAGGGATGGCAAACGGGTACAATTTTGTAGATTCCGCACCGCACCCGCATCCGCACCAATTGGGGCGGGGATGGATATAATTTTAGCGGGTAGTGGGCGGATGTGGATTTACAAAGTGATACCCGTCACGGGTAATGGACGGATAATGGGTTTGAGACATTACCCACCCCGCATCCGCCCGCCTACTTTCTATAATATATGTAGGTAGTAGTGAATTTAAATTGGAGCGTTTCTCAATTTGAGGAAATAGAGAATGATGATTGTAATACTGTAATATCAGTTGTCACAAGTATTGCCTGAAATTTTAGAATGTTGTGCCAAAGAACAAAAACATTATGTGTTTGAGAATGTACCCGCGTGGGCGGGTGTAGATTTGAAAATTTGTACTCATCATGAGTGGTGGGCTGGTGGTGGATTGAAAAATATTAGGTGGATATGGGGATGGGGGGAGGAGGTATCCGCACCCGACCTGCCCGTTTGCCATCCTTACCCTGGCCTCAATAAACTCGAACTAAATCATTGTGACCTTATGGCAATAGTTAACCTTCTGTTATGTATCCTTTTCCCATTTCAATACGTTCACTAAGAACAATTACCTTTCAGCTCAAATGTCAAATCATGATGTCTTGATTATTTAAAAGGTTGAACAATTTGCTTGTTTCACAGAAGAACGAGGGTCTTGCATTTAGCTAGTGCATATAAGTGATAAAAACTTGTAACGACAGTCGACAATCATAAACCTAATAAACAAAAGACAAAAGCAATGTATTACCTCCAGCATGACCCATACGCCGTCCAGGAGGAGCAGTAAGTCCAGCAATGAAGGCAACAATAGGCTTTTCAGTCCCACTTTCCTGTTTCGTTTATTCAAACAAACCAAAGGGAGGTTTTTCAGCAATCTTTGGTTTTTAAGTGTAGAGACAATCAAATAGCATTAGGAAGCATTCCCATTATATCTACATAAATTGTAAGCCGTTTTTGTTAGTTGCACAAGTGCAAAGAACTATAGATTATAAACAAACCCTTACAAAGTAAATTTGATCTTACTATTAACCAAGTCGGAATCAGAGCATGGAAATATACCATCCCCCCCCCCTCACATTCGCAGTAAAAGTAACACTTTCTAGAACAAGAAGTCCTCAATTCCTTCATGCTAAAGTGTTGGTGTTACCTTAATTAGAGCAGCAGCATCTTCTTCTGCAGTGCCTCCAATCTCACCGATCAAAATGATGCCTAAACACAATTGCAATAATTAGATGGTATGTATTCCCATTCATCATAGACAAGATACAGCCACATAGCGAAAAAGACCTTTGAATCTAAGAGCAGCAGTAGAATTAATGATGGTCAAATAATACTAAGAAAAGTAGTAGAAACTCTCTTCCGATATAAATCACGAAAATTTACCTTCTGTCTGAGGATCAGCAAGAAATTTGGTCACACAATCAACAAAGTTGGTTCCATTAAAAGGATCCCCACCAATTCCTACACAGGTTGACTGCCCCAGACCTACTGTAGTTGTTTGGAAAACCTAAAAGATAAAATGAAAAATATGCTTATTGACAACTTACTAAAAGAGAGTACACTATGATACCGGTAACTGGAAAACAGTGTTGGCTTCTTCAGGACTATGGTGCTTCAATCCCATAGCTATGAGGCTGTACATAACCTACCGAATACTATAACACATTAACTTGAGCATCCAATAAAAATTCACGGGTTCAATTATATTCATATTTTTCAACTAATATCCATTCAAACTGAAAATTATTTTATAGGAAAAAAATGCAAAATTTTCTTTTCATTTTGTTGGCCAACATGCATGATTTCCCTCGGTCCCAAGTCTGTTGTTGAATGCTCAATACTGTAAAGTAGAGTCATATGTTATCCTTTTTCTTACAAGTAAAGGTATAGTTAATGAAAAATATTAAATTCAAAAAAAATTAAAGAGAACTTCAATTAAGCCGAGCCTTTTTGGTGCTTATTG